TAGATTATTAGCAAGGGGCTCGAATACTCAAAATATCAAGTGACTGTTAAATGGCTTCTTATACCTTTGATTCATACTGTTATTACTCCAGAACATTAGACAAAAATAGACATTTTAAATTTAATCTTCTCATCTTATACTCTCAATGCTTGTACAAAAAATGAATATTAATCTCGAAGTTCAAACAAATGTCTCAGATATTGGTCAATACGGAGAGCAACACTACGATAAAGACTTTTCGTGATTTTGACAAGATAATTCAGGAATTTAAATGTGTTTCCTATGCATCCATAAATAATTTTCATAATTATTACAGAAAAAAATTGAATACATTCTCTAAATTTGTGCCTTTACTTTGTTTTGAATTATGACTGAAAGAAGCTGAATAAAATTAAAAACTATACAGTGTGTTCAACAATTCATGTATGAACAATATGATTTAATAAATATGATTTTACTTGGTAAAAATACTGTATTTTCCTGCATACAAACGAAAGAATTTCAGAATATCGAAAACGAAAACTGAATGTGGAATTTAAAAATGTGATTCCTTTAACCATTGAAACAAATCGCAAAAGCAACATTTATTTATAAATGATTCGTCATTTTGTTATTGTATAATTCATGTATTTATTATGATTCGCTTTCTTAATCTTGAACACAAAATAGTTTTTGCGTTTCTTTTGAGACTCTATGTTATAATTGATGTACTCTTTATAATCGGGTGTGCCAGTCAAGATAACAGAACTTGGCAGGTACTCGATCATTGAAAACGTTGATAAGTAGTATACAATTCCACTAATTTCTTTAAAACAAACCTGTTACTACATACTGTTTTAGATTAACATTTACATGAAATCTGTTTTGAAAAATATCTTTAAATTAATTATTTAATTATTCTAAGAACTTTGTACAGTATCAGTGTTCGAATTGTCCTAGTATATACATAAGGTATGCCGACATTGTGTGCATCAGCCGTCCTTACATATATGAGTGTCAGTCGATATATATATAGGCTTCAATCACTATTCTGTGAAACCTGTATGAACAGAATACCAGCGTTTCTCTGCAAGTAAGACCCCTGTATTTCTGCGTCGTCGTGTTGCGGAAGTCCTTGACTGTCATCAATTTCCACATCCTGGAACTGTGAATTATCACCAATGCACACTTCGCCAGACAATCCCCTATTTTAGTGAATTTATTCATTTTATTATTCTGTGCTTTATTTTGTAATTATTTTGAGAGGTATTAAAGCCAGGAGCTTTAATTTGATATTTTGGTGTATTTCATTTCCAGTACTATTGTCTTGTCTACATCATTCTAGCAGTGAAAGAACCCCCTGTCCAGTGTGAGTTCTGTGGGTGCCCCTCTCAATAGCAATAATCTACATTGGCCGTGGTAATATCATGTTTCATTACTTGATGCTGGAATCATACTGCGCAATTAATATTCGAGATTACATGTTTTCCATTCACATCGTACTAAACTACATATCGTACAATCTCGTATGTAATGCACACGTCTGTAATAACGTGCCTATATGAAATCGTTAGTCCTATTTGTCAAGTAATATACAAATACGGAGAAGAAGTTTAATATCGCCATCAAACCATATTTGATGTTGTTCAATTTTACACAATCAAGAGTTATTATGTGTATTCGATGTACACCAAAACCCACTTGAAATGCACCCATTCAAAATGAGTCACAATTAAACCCAATTTCCCAAACTTAAACTCACCTCAGTATATTAATCATTATTTCGTCTAAATTGACAACAACAAAATGAGCTGCCGTGTTATTCTGATCCGGCGTGATTTTGAATTGTTTAAGGAGCTTTTGCATAATACATGAAAACGAATCGTTATATCATTACATGTTCATGTCGCGGAACTTCAAAGAGATAGTACGCACTGTCCCCACCTGTAATCGTTTACTCACTAGTGAATTCTAATAATATTTGTACAATAGAAGATCCGTAATTTGGGCTGATTGTTTGAAATATCACGGTGGGACAAGCCATTACCATGGTAACGAATGCAACTAATGACGCAGGTTAAGTTTTTATACATCGATCGGAGCATTATGTAATTACATATTCTTCACCCCGGGGAGTCTTGTTTTTTTCGTTACACTGGAATTCATCTAAGATCTTACTCTCTAGGAGTGGATGACGAGGTGATATGAATCGAAGTGACATGTAACATCAGTATATTATTGCGGCGTACATTTCCTTCTATAATATAACGCAAACAATTATCAGGAAACGTCGACGTCAATTACTGCCTGTTCTGTCTATGCGGAATTTGAAAGAAAAGTAGCATATTACGGTAGGTGAGTTTGATTTTATAGCAAAACTACACTGTTTAATTCTGGGCCAATGAACAAATCTGTTCAATGTACATCTGTAATGATACTCACCCAACATCACAATTCCAGGTATATACATTATTGTCTTAAACTGCAAATCTATATAGAGTTATGCGTCGCGTGCTGTTCGCACCTGGTCGCATTATTACATTGCGTACATTATTACATTGTTTTGTTCCTTCTAGCGTCAAGTAGGTCCACTAGGTGCATTGTTGACAATATATGTTATGTATGTCTGTCCACTTCTCAATTCCGGAATATATATACTGAAGTATCTTTGCCAGGTATAATAAAACACTGCTGGAATTACAAGAATTAAATTCATATTTAAAGGTTCGTGTTAATGACCAAGTTACGTTGTGCACGAGAAACAACAAATGACAAATAATAAAAAAAATAATAAAAACAGTGCAAAGTGTATTTATCACAACTCACCTTGGAATTATTTGTAATGTGTCGTATAATGTATTTTCACCACCAAGAGTGAAAGGAATGATAGTGACGAGTGAAAATACAAACGATAATAATAAGGGTGGTATTAATGTTATTCACATCATTGTAATAGAAGGTTTTTTTGTTTCGATAATAACCATATATGTGTCTATTGTGCATCACATTCAGTTTTCTCAACATTATAATAATAGTGATAGAGACATCATATCAGATATACAAAATACGGAGTACATTGGTTTTCACACAAGAGATGTCACACCCGCATGAACTAGACTATGCTTGATGTCTTGTAACATGCAACACGGGAATACATGTATTTAGAGATATTACATTATTATGATAATTAATTAGTGGGTACTTTCATAGATTTCAGGTACCCACAACAAGATAATATTCTAAAATGTGATTAAACTATCAGAAGAATGTGATGATGTTTTCTAAAATCCTCAGTCAGACTGATCGACTGATCAGGTTGATATTATGGTATGACTTTTATTATAATGATAGACCATGGTATTAATACAATATTACGTCACATTGAAAAATACGCTTGTCTAAAATAGAACATTACCACACTTCTGACAAAAGAATCTGGTCAGAGCTACTTCTGTTCCCGGAAGCGGAGCGATAAAGTTGTTTTAAACCAAAATGGTGGAAATGTGAATAGTTTTTTATTACGCGACATGTCTGTCACAGTCGAGTACGGGCGTCGTGAGGTGTAAATGGCATCCCCAGACACCAATGTAATGATACAGCGACGACCAGACACATTTCGACTGGCCGCGCGACAAAAATTCATGTTCTATTCTAAAAAATCAATCATGATTGTTTGTATTGCATGTTACATTGATAATTTAAGACGATGGTAATGAGTTACAGTGGCATGATGCATAGCAGGATGTTTTGTTGAATTTACATGTAATGACTGACGTCCCCAGGCGACCGAAACGATCCGTTCATCAAAGTTACTACACGCCTACTCCTTCGTAATGATTTAATATGTGTAAATTCAATCTCAAGAAGATCAGCATGGCATTCAGCATGCGACCCCATACTGCACTGTACACTATGTGTACACTATATATGGCATAACTAAATGAGTAATATCGCATGTATACTATTTATGTTGTTAGTCGACATTTCAACAATATTGAATCTATATTAACATTGAATGAGTAATATGTTATTTGACCAATAAAATTGATGGGTAGTTATTACGAAAGCTTGTCAATTTCACTGTAGTCTTTCACTGTACCAGAATATATATATAGTGAGGAGTATTTGTTCCTATGTTACAGTATGTAAGGAGATAAAGTTAAAGGTTAAATATTAAACGTGTTCCACGTTTTGGAATTGAGTATTTTTTCAACAAGTTTGTCTAACTTTCAAGCTTTGCGTTGTAATAGGCGTCAAACCTTTGTCATACAAATATATACAAACAACATGGCCTGCTCAAAGGGGAAGACAAAGATATTTTCTACTTATGAAATATAAATTACAAACATAATCACACAACACATTTTCGGTTTATGAACGCTTATAACGAAAAAAAAGCACAATTTGACCTATTGTACCTAGTTGTTGAATCGGAACAATGAAATAACAAATATATAATATACACATATAGATATACAATATGCACATACTAACACCACCAGATTTCTAAGCAGAGGTTAATTGGAACTAATTGTATTATTTTAAGCGAACTCTTCAGAATTTAACGTATCATTATTTTGATCTATATAGATTGATATATTATCAACCAGCATAGTTACGCTTCGTTTGTTTAATGTTTATTTTATTTTAAATATTCGACGTTGTGTATCCGTGTGTATAATAAATGTATTTAGACGTGTTCTTTTTATCTGTGTACGAATTGGTCTATATATTAATCTCTCGTGTCACTCATTTGTACAATATGAGTATAATGAAGTTCTGTTGTGTGCTTAGTCACGCGGTAACCAAACCCCATACATACATGGGAGTGACAATATGCTTTGCTGGCTTTATATTTTAGAATCTCTCGGCAACAAATAATTCAGAGAAAATTGCAGTTTCTACAGAAATAATCTTATTTAACATATACCGACACGTACAATATACAAACAAACACTGATTGTGGTACTGATTGTGGTACTGCTTATGGTACTGCTTATGGTACTGCTTATGGTACTGAGTATGATACTGCTCATGGTACTGCTTATGGTACTGCTTATGGTACTGAGTATGGTACTGATCATGGTACTGTTTATGGTACTGATTATGGTACTGATCATGGTACTGCTTATGGTACAGCTTATGGTACTGATCATGGTACTGATTGTGGTACTGCCTATGGTACTGCCTATGGTACTGATTATGGTACTGCCTATGGTACTGATTATGGTACTGCTTATGGTACTGGTTATGGTACTGCTTATGGTACTGCTTATGGTATTGCTTATGGTACTGCTTTATGGTACTGATTATGGTACTGCTTATGGTACTGATTATGGTACTGCTTATGGTACTGATTATGGTACTGCTTATGGTACTGATTATGGTACTGCTTATGGTACTGCTTATGGTACTGATTTGTCACACGCAACGTAATATTACCGTAATTGGTATAGTACAGGTGTGATGGTTCAAATACCAAAATGGCAACAGTAACAGAAAGACTTCCCTGGCGGCGATGATAAAATACGAACACGGAGCCAACAGATGAGGTTTCAACTGGTACTGGTATTATTATACTCTGCAAACACAAAGTACAATAACGCGGTAAAACTCCACTACTCCAATAACAAGATACTTAAACTCCAATAAAATTCAACGAGATCTCCGATCTGCACTCAGTGCTGAACAACTCCACTATATATACCCACACTGTCTATAAATAGACCATTACATCAGCATACATAATGAGTCTGGAATTTACTATAAATTTCTAGAATGTTCCATTACCTTCTATTGCCTCCTACAGTGTTCTATTACCTATTCAACCATTTTCTAAAAAAAATCTAGAATATTTCACCCAGACACAGTACGGTTCTAGAACATTCTCAGTGACACGGAAGTGGTAAAT